TTTTTTTTGTTTTGGTTTTTTTTTTTGTTTTTTTGTTTTCTTTGTCTTTTTCAACTGAAAGATATGTGTAGTAGGACACACTTTTGGCGTCCCCAGATTTATAGATTACTCTGGTTTCATCATCTTTCGGAATTGTATATGGTTTATAGTTATTATTCAAGTTAGCAAAATCTATTTTATTTGATGTTTGAACTTTTTTAAACTTGTCTTTTCTGCTAAATTTAGGATATTTTTAAGCGAGTTCTTTTTTTCTTTTTTTGGTTGATTCTCCAAGAGTATTCTTCTACATATTTGATTCGGTTTTTCTAGCATTATAACGCTTTTCCAGTGTAGTTCTTCATGGTGGTACCATTTCCCTGATAATATTTTATCCATTTCGTAGCTCTCAACATTGGAATGGGGTTGTTTCTTCAGTGGGTACATATACACAAGTATATATATACATATATGTGAATTGAAAAGATATGAGGGGAGGGTTACTACGACCCTCCATTTTGGCTACAGAATTTTTATAGTAACGAAGAAGCAAAAAGTACGCAGTGAATATTCTTATATTTTAAATGGGAATTTCGCTTTTTTTTTATCTTACTTGAAAATGGATTAAATAAAGAATAATTAAGGGGGCTCCAGGAATCTTGACTTGTATAGGTATGATGATGTTTTGAATGCAAAACGAAAATTGAGAATTACATGATATATTTTATAATATACGTGATTATTCTTTCCTAATTTGGATGGGCCACTACAACTAGGGGTAGGAGCTTAGTTTGAATCAGTTATGTTGTTCTTCTGCTGGGCAGAACTGCTGTACGTTACTTCCCCATTCCTTTCATTCTTATGATTGAATAATTTAGAAAAGTCATAAAGTTCATCATTCATTTAACATGTTTTTAATAAGGTTAACGATGGAACTTAACTGAGGGAGTTATCTTCAGTTTAATTTTCATTATAGTTAATAACGACTTTGCTATTATTTTACGGCATCACTTATGAGAGTTACATCAGCGCATACACGCTCGCTAATCCATCTCCCTTATGATGCCACAAATCGAGTATTTGACGAAAAGGCGAATTACGTAATGTGAAAAAATCAAAGATAGTAAAGTAGTGGGCAAAATAGTAACAAAAATGTCTCAAAAGGGTGTCAGGAAGGTCTAAGAAAGGTCACAAAAAAATCACAAGAAGGCGACAGGAAAGTCACAAAAAAAGTCACAGAAAAGTCAAAGAAGGAAAGTCAGAAACACGTCAAAAAAAAGTCTCAGAGACGCCGTAAAATGTCCTAAAATCGGCCAAAAAATTCAAAAAGACTTCATCAACATTTTGGCTTACACACTCGAGCGCTTTGCGAAACAGAGCAATATTAAATAAACAGCATCAACAAACGATTAAATAAAATTAACGAAGTATCAATAATGAAGATTATGTCAAATGAGGGTTATATATATTAATCATATGTAAAATAAAGAAGCGGTTAATTTTTTTTTTTACTTCTTTTTTAAGTATTTTTTTTTGCTAAATTTTGAATCACGGAAGAGCAATATTATATGGCAGTGCTACAATTTAGGAGCGAAGCTACATTTACCACCAGTTATAAATCGAATGCTATATGGTGCCCCATGTGAACAAATCTGCGAAGTCGTTTTTTTTTTTTCTTTTTCTTTTGTATGCGATGCAAATATATTTACGCTTAAGTACAAAAAATATACACGAAAACATTGACGAGGCTTATCTATCGTAACAAAGTAAAGCAGGCCCCTATTCTTATGGCTCAAAATTATAAGTAAACTTACAATTACAGCTACAGTTATGTATAACTGTACTTGAGTTAGGGGAAAAAATTTATATTTACTCCTTCCATCAGCGTGTAGTTTAATACTTTTTAATCAAAGTAGAAAAATTATCTTTATCAAAGCTTCTTTTGCACAGAACACAGCTTTTGCTATTTTAACTATGAGATGTAACGATTTGTGCATATGACGTCTGTAATGATGCTTATGTATATTCCTAAGCGCGCGTTTACTCAAAGATGTATAATGTAAACTTTCGAAAGGAGTTACGTTATAGGTGGGAAACAAATTTGAATGCTTCAATAAAGTGATGAAAAGACAAATATGGGAATGGAAAAGCCTCCACTACGTTATGACACCTACGTATAAATGTATATACCTTACGAATCACTTAATGTACAATTTTTTTCTTTTTGAAGGAATTTATTACAATTTAATCGTGGCTTATCATGCTTTAAAAAATTTCATTTTGCGATTCATCTTGGAGGAAATTAAATATATAGTGGTCAACTACTAGGATTGACAACAACTGGTAGTTTATACTGTGTATATCACTCTGTTTATCGTCAGATACATTTTTTTAATATAACCTCCATTTTGAAAAGAACGGTAAATGGCGCTTATCATAATTTAAAGACATCCAAGAAAAAAAAAAAGCGAGAGTATATGCGACTCAGGGAAGGGGTACAAAAAAACATCCTGCTAGTTAGCAATAAAAATAAAGGAAAAAAAGTAAGTGATCCACTCCATAACTTTTTCTCTTTATAAGTGCTTTTAACCTGATTAGAGGATAAATTCAGGATGGGCAAAAAACGGAAAAGGATGCCTTAGTTTCTGCGTTTTTGGAGAAAGGACTCAGTCATTTTCTCCTTCATTCAAGAATGAATTAAAAAAAAAGTAAAACAACAAAGAAAACTTAGACTCGGTGGAGTAATAACAAAATGAATGAAGACTCTTAAATGCCTTTTTTGTGACCTCTTGGACGAGTCACTATATAGCCATTTTATCACATTCTATAGTTTCACATTATCCTCTTGTTGGTTCCTTGCCAATTTTTTGTAAGAACATTTTATTTAAACTATTTTTTCCCCTTCAAAGGAAAAAGTTTAAACGTATCTCTTCAATTAGATGTTTTGGAAAAATAATCCCTTCTGCGGAACGTATTATTTATTTAAGCGGTAAAAAAAAATATATATATATTTCTTTTTCCTTGTTAATATAACACCTCTACATGTTTCGTGTCTTCGAAACGTAGAGGTATAACGAGTCGCTAACATTAAAGTGAAAAGGTGACTCTCTAGTTGAAGAAGTGGGTTAGTGAACGTGTAAGCTTATAGAGTAGTAGAAAAACGCTTGTACTCCGATGTTAACTTGAAATGGGCGGTCTTATGATACCCGGTAAATGGCCTAATTAGTTTTCTTGTTCTCACTGTAATGTGTGCATTGTAAGACGGTGTGTGTAATTTAGCCAAACGAATTGGTGAAAAATTAGGGCTAAAAATAATTATACGAAATAGATTTTGCTAGAGGGTATTATGTTACGAAATGGCAAAGATTACGAAGCGTAAATGGTTAAAGCGATCAAATGGGTTGGCGTCGTAGGATGGGTGTTGGTGATTGGAAGGGGCACTCTCCCATTAACTACTCTACTTTCAAACAAATAGATAAAATGCGCTTTCCATTTTGATAAAATAGCGTCACTTGGTGCAACATGTGATACGAAGAAGTATTCTCGGTAGCAGATTAAATGTTTAACAAAGAGGACGACGCATCATCCCTTATTTTTGAGCAACCTCCAGTTGAATATTCGTGGCATAAAAAGTTCCCACGCAGTATTTGAATATTACACATATTACGCATTACGTATTATATATTACATATATATAACTGCGATGCGTGGTTTTGAATGGGTGGCGGACGCAGTTATAGTTCTGACCTCTTGCAAGAACATCCATTTTGAAAAGAAACAATTCGCATTACATGCCTTTGTTATGTGCAGCGAAGACGCAAATTCCATTACTATATAACTTTTTTTTATATATAGTTTTTTGTGTACATGTAGTTAATATTTAATTCATAATAATATGTTCCTTTCTTCTCACAATGCGCATGACGTAAAAATTGTCAAAGTTGAAAAAAAAGAGAAATCAACTGTATAAATCATCATATGTATATATATAATATATATAGAGAGAGAGCGAAAGCGAGAGAGAGAGAGACAGAGAGAAAAAAAAAGTTATAGATAAAAGTATATACAAGTTTAATCATAAAAAATAAGCGTATTGCAAATAAAACAGATTTGTTATTAGAAAATATATATAAAAAAAATACACACAAAATAAGGAATTCTACGCAAACTGTAAAAATCGTATAGATTTTTTCTCAGTATTTATTTTGTAGGCTCCTATTATGGATGCTAAAATCAAGGGTGCGTGGGTTCTTAGCTTTATCGTTTGGTTTTTTTTTTGTATAGTTCCATTTTGTGTTTCGTCTTTCTCGTTTTCTTAGTTTATTGCTTCTTTGTTATATATTTATCTCTGCTCCTCTGGCTCATTTTTCTCTGTTTCTTCCTTTTGTTCTAAACAGTTGCAAGCAGTCGAAAATTACGAGAAGATTGTTTTTTCTGGATTTCTGAGGTAGCACTTTTTATTCGCATTGTGAAGCCGCTACTTTTTTTTTGAAATGGTTTCTTTTTTCGCTTTCTCAGATTTTTTTTTTATTTCTTTTTTGACTTTTTCTTCCTTGCCTTGTTTTTTTTGGTCTGAGACACCTTTGAAGTAGCTATAAAACATAACACCGTTGATTATTAACATTGCAATAAGTAACAACAATAAGTAGTTGTTTCGTACTAATTGAAGCATTCCATTGACATAGCTCCCAAAGAATTGTAACTTGTATAATGGAGATATCATTGGTGAGGATGGGCTGATATCGACGGACTTTCCAAGTCTTTCCTGTTGTTGTTTGTAGGCAGCTAATCTACGTTGGTAGCATGGGGAGTTTTCAATGGCTTCCCTTAATTTCCTAATGGATTCTTCACTGAACATTTCACTCAGATCAGGTGGTGGTAAGATGGGTTCTTCGGGATTTCCTGGATTTTCTATATTTTCTAGATTTTCTGGGGTTTCTACGGTTTCAGCAATATCTACTAATTCTGAAGATCCCTCAACATTTACATCTGGAATGGTTTCATCAGGTAAGTCGGCCAAATCGGCAACAATATCGTCAGATAAATCAGCTAAATCTACTACACCATCATCAATGACCGAGTCTTCTAAATCGGGGAGTACGGGATCATTGACTTCTTCTACATCTAGCAAGTCGGAAGTTAGATCGAGTGCTGCAACTTCTTCAGTGTTAAGGTTTTCAAAACTGCCATCAAGGATCTCAGAGGCATCAGTCAGAGGGATAACTTCTTCTGGATCCATTTTTACAAGAGGTTGATTGGTTGGTGTAGTAAGTTCAAAAGTACAGGCGGGGGGATTATATATATGATACACTTATGAAAATATATAATTCTTTTTCTTTTTGAAGGTTGCTATGAGATGGCAAGGAATGATATGTTCCTAAAGTTGAATAAGGGTAAACAAACGGGGGGAGGCGGGGTGGTTATGTAGAAGGGGTATAGTTGCGATAATAGTCATTCCTACATAAGCAATGGATTTATATATTTGCCGTTCGCGGAATGCTTAAATAGGCATAAAGCATAGAAATGAGGAAACTCATTTTTGTATGTAAAATGTAGATAATACCTTTGAGGATAAGGCGCGCTTAGAAATAATAAGGGGTTGAAGAAAAGGAGATTGTGGATCGTTTCTTGTTGCTAAACAGTTGATGGTAAAATATAGCAATAGGCTTCTTTAGGATTGTCCAAGACGGGCTGTTAGAAACTGTAACAAATTGAAGAAAACAAAAGAAAAATTAAAATATTATAATTTAGTCAATTAGTAAAATAGGTTCTGTTTGTAAAGGTTTATTTTTTTAAGCGAAATTTATATAGCTAATCTTTGGTTGAACAAAATTATTTATAATTTTGTCGAACTAAAATATAATTTCAATGAAATGAATTTTCAGAAAAATATAGAATTTTATATAAATATTAAAAAAATTTAAATTTAATTTTGCAGAGTATATAATTTTTTAAATTACCTGAAATATGGGTTTTTCACAAAATGTATTTAATTTTATTTTCTTTTCGTTTTTTGCCTTGTATACCTAAAATAGCAATTTAGAAAAAGAATTAAAAATGCTTTTTAAAATAAATAGTAAAAAAATAAAATATTTTTAAAAGAATAATTTTGTATAAAAATTTTTAAAAAAGAGAAAAAATTGAAATAAAAATATGGGATAGTTTTTCTTTTTTTTTATAAAAATATATAATCGTTTGACACTTTAAGAATGAAAATAGCCCCTATATAGATTTAATTAAAATGCAAATGAGAAGGATGTATTTTTTTTTTTTTTTGATTCTTGCCAATATTTACATGTATATTTTTATTTTATATGATTTGAGGATGTATACGCTGTTGTAGCGTAAGATATTTAGTGACACGACAGAGCGCATACATGTGAGAATAAATTCATTTTAATTTAAATTTTAATTGTTTGTATGCTGCATATGCTTTTTTTCGCAATGGCGTGTTTCTTATAGACCGCTATTGTCACGGGTTCTGCTACGAAAATGAAACGGAACGCCCGGATTCTTCTCTACATAATCTATTTATTTTAAGCGGAGGCTTTTTTTGTTTTTCAGAAATATTGCATTCAATTTGGTACATGTGTTGTATTATATATATTATATAATAACATATATGTAATAATATAATTTCGGTAGCGATGAAAATGTATTATACAATATCATTTTTTTTTAAGCACCCGTGCTCTGTTTTTGTCATTTTTGCATGTAAAATAAATTCTTTTGCTTTTTTTTTTTTTGTTTTAACCAGTTTTGTAATAGTCTCTTAATGATTGAATAAGAAATACATATAAAGAAAAAAATTAAATATTTATACCTCCTTCGTTATATAATATTTTATGCTTACTTGCTTAATTTAAATTGTCCTAATTTAAACCCCCCCACCCCATTTGGATTATGCATGAGGGTTTTGGTTTGCCATTGTTGTTCTGTGGATGAAGCGCTTTTGATTATCTATTAAATGAATATCTCATTCATTTGGAGCACTTTTATTCTATAATTTACCGAGCCGGGTTTGTAACGTAGAGAGAGACCGTTATGAAGAACTCACCTTTATCGCGAGCAGAATTTGGTTGAATAAATTTGTCCCACAGGGGATGATGAAGCTGTGCGATGGATTTATATGCATATGTTTGCCGTAATTTGTGTCATTTACTCCATAGTTATGCAAAACATGCGTTACTCCTATTTATGGGCATAATATATTTTCAGATTTGTGGAGGCTGAAATTTGCAGGTTTTACGTTTTACTCCTTTCTTCATTTTAAATAAAAGAGTATTCCAAATATTGATTTCTGCCTCGCTCCTGGTGCACTTCGTTGTGATCTTTAATCCTTGGCACACTTATGGCGGATGAGGATAAATTCGACCTCGTTTTTATTGCGATAATTATGCTTTATTTTAACTGAATAGTAACAATCATTTTATAAATGAAATAAACCATCTTTTTTATGAATAGAAGTAGTTGGTGTGCTTCCCTAATATGTCAACGTTATTATTTGCATATAATAAATGATAAATAAATTAGTAGTAAGCAGTAAGCCGTTCGTTTTAAGGCTACTGCGTCCTTCTTTGTAAGGATTAAGATTTGACAGTTAGCTCCCCTAACTGTTCTCTGTGGGGGGAGCACACTTCTTTTAAATTATTTTTCCTCACCCCCAAAGTTATCCCAAATGTCTTTTTTCATATGCTATAATAACATAAGGTGTAAAATTTTCGAGAAAATTTATTTCTGAAATTTCTACAAACCTAACCGGTTAAGGTGGCACCATCCTGTCCCTCCCCTGCATAAGCTCTCATATGCATTTATGTATACATCTGGAGAGTACAACGAATGAGTGCACGGGAGTGCGACGTGTCGCTAGAATTGGCTCAGCTTAAAAGATTACCATCCGTTAAAAAAAATTATAAAATGTGATTATCCTATTATGTAATGACTTCAATAATTCATTGAATGGAATTTTATACCAGCAAATTTATTCTTTGCGCATAATTTTGTTTCTACAAATCGGAGCACGAAACATGTATGCCTTCCTTTTGAATCATTACTCATTAAGGGTTCTTTTCTTTTTTTTGTTGCCTCCTCCCTTTTGAGGATGTAGAAGCTATTTATGCTGCATTGTAGGGGGATATTTTATTAATTTTGACCGTAATGGACATTTGAAAGTAGGGGATTTGTACTTGTGAGTTATAAAATTGGAGTGTTCTACGAATTAAAAGATGTGAAAAAAAAGTGCCTCTAACTGCTGTTGGGATCATGTGCGATATTAGCATCTTCGTTGCTCCAAGTGCACATATTATAACGTTCCCGATATTTGGTTTTTATCGAAAAGGAACAAATAAATAATATGCAAAATAAACGGTAAGTGCTGCATAATACAGTAAAAAATAGGAATCAAATGATTTGGACATTTGAAGGAGGCTAAAATATTTGAATGTGTTTTCTTCATGTTTTAAGTTGAAAAAATTGCGTGTGTCACTATGGCTACGATAAGAAGGCATAGAAAGAAACAAAAATATAGGCCTTTTATTTGGTTTAAAAATGGTGTTTTCTTAAATAATATATCACTTGAATAAACGCAAGAGCGTTAATTTTATGATGAAGAATACATGAGAACAATTAGCACTTTATTGCTTCTGCGAAAATAAATATCATTTTTAATGAAAAC